AGCAGGCCAGTGTTGAGTGACTAAGCTGACTAGTGACTGATTGAACAAGCGGGCGAACGAGTGTGTTTGTTGTGACCGTCCAATAGGCTGCCAGCCGCCCGCAGGAGCAACAGAAGGTCCTGCTTACTTGCTTGTTTGCCTGTCTGCCTGCCTGCCTGCCTGCCTGCCTGCCTGTCTGTCTGCCTGTTTGCTTTTTAGTTGGCTGCGGCGACAGGCTCGAACGGAGTCGGGACATCGTTTACCGCCTGGTCATCTATATCGTAGTAGTTGCTGCCACCAGCGTGTGTGGCCGTTATGTCGCCGGGTCATGGTAGCGACGGGGGTCCGATCCATTCCGTTCACTCTGATGGTGTTCACACGGGCCGCCACGGCGTGCTCCTACTGGATGGCAGGCCGAAAGGGTCTAGCTAGGCGGCCGATGGCCACTGACGCACGGGGGAATCAGGAGAGACCAGCTAGAGTAGTAGGTCCGGATGACGCTCCCTCCCTCCCCCTTAATCACAAACCCGCCTTCGCCCCCAATGGCCCAATAACCCCAACCCCTACTCCCTAGTTATCCATCCAGTCTTGTCATGGGGGCAACCCTCTTGCGCTCATCGTTTCCTGTTCACCGTGATCGCCGCCGCGTCAAAAGCAGGCAACTATTACCATTGTAAAGACAACAACATCACACGCCGCGTGTGTTTGCGTGCATGCGTGTTTGCGTGCGTGCCAGTCGCGTGTGTAGGTTGTGGTGGCACCGGGGGCCATCGAACGGTTGCAAGTGGCAGCCGTGACCGACAGATGAAATAAGATGAGTGCTGACTCTTCTTGGAATGATGCAGCTGCTGTTGTGGTGCCTGTGATGGACAATGAATTCGTCGCTTGCTCATAACATGGAACAAACAATTAACGCTGTCTCTGTGGCGGTGAAGGCGCGGATGATGCGATCGAGATGATTCAGTTGCTGGAACCCGTGTGGCTGCAGGTTTTCGTGGCGTAAGGCGTGCGGCAGCTATTCATCTTCCTGTTGTTGTTTAACCGATTGGCTAACTCGCACGTACACTTTTGCTTGTTCACATGCATACGCGCGTGTCGTTCCGCGGCACAGGGGCGCTGGGTACAATGACCTATAAGTGTAGTGCAATGAGTAGAAACCTCCGTGTGCTCAAGTCGATTAATGTTCGAAAAACCGCGCGGTTAGGAGCTGTGCGTATGTGTAGCCGTGTACATTCCACTGCGGGGGCTGGAGGTCGAAAGGAAATTATTCCCCGTCTCGACCACCAATTGCCCCTGGGTTTCTATGTGAGTTGCATCGACGTGGTTGCGCCGTCGTTACGTCCGAGCCGCAAGTCTCGTGCCAACCAACGCTGCCACAACACCCGCGCTCCGCTTAGTAAACGGTGTTTGCGGGAAAATATCTCAAAGAGAGGAAACACTCAAAGCGCTTGTCATGCGTGACTGCGATAAATGGGTTTATTTGGGCAAGCTGAGTCCAGGATAGACAAGCCGAGGAAAGAAAGGCTCTAATTTTCAGCGGCGATCCACATTTCTAGTTAGCGGATACTGAACGCGAAACTAATTGTGCACATCGCAATGAACAGGCGTATACATAATCAGATATTTGGTGCCTGACTGCGTGAACGTAACAATCACTGTGGAATTTACATTACAAAGGCATTGGATTAGGTAGACGTTATGCCATGTTACAAGCCTGAGAACACGGCTTGTGTCAATACTGATGCACTGTTTATACCCAAAGTGGTTAGGTTTCTTAATTAGAAAATTGGGTAGGTAGCTTTAAATACCTAATTGTACATTTAATAGCTCTCTGAATTTAGACAGTAACAAACGATTGGTTTACAGTTATACCAGTTAGGGAAAGTATTGGCCCTTAGGCTCGTACACCGGAATTCTTCTTCCCTTTCTTTAAACGAACCACGTCCTCCGGGAATATTTAAATACACATTGAATTAGGAAAGCCTCCCTCTGTTTGTTCTGTTTTATTGTTATTAAAACGCTACGTGGTGGAGTCTTTCGTACTTATCAGTAGTAACAGAACCAAGGTTAATAGTTCATTGTATGCTGTTAACGATGACGCCGAACGTCACCACTCTGTTTTCCACGATGCGAGCAAGCTGGCAGTTATTCCCGAAGAATCATCGAAACCGACACAGGTGTCACCCCGATTATTTTATCTGGTTCATCACGAGGGACAACCATCACAGTAACAAGTGTTTTTCCGTATGTTGATCTAGTCATGTATTAGGCTCAACTGATTGACCTTGTGATACACCTGAAGCTCGACGCCGTAGTCTGGGCGTTGAACGGAGTTCGGATTGTTGCTACAGCCGAATCAAGGGCAAGGAGGGAGATAAGGTGCGGTGGGGTGGTGACCTGAAGGCCACAACCGACTGGCCGCCAATCTAATGGTCAAGGGCGTGACGGACTCATGGCTGCTCCCGGCTTTGTCCTCGACCGCAGGGGATTGCCTCCGGGGAGTATCCAGCCACCCGCTCTTTTAGTCCTGCGGCTCCTGTCAGTGTAACGGGGTCTGACTCTGGCTGGGAAGGCGACCGACCGATCACTTTCGACGCTGCCTTCGGGGATTTTCACGTGATTCCCGTACTACCCCATCTTCCCTTTGGCCTCGAAATCTACCCACCACGACCCGTCCCCATTCATCCCTGCGCTTCCTCTCTACCCGCACACCAAAGCTCTCTAAAAAGGAGGGCGATAACGCACCCCACACCGCTTGACTCGCCTGCCCACGATTCGCTGGTATTTTCGAGCCATCGCTCTTTCTTGCGTAAGGCGGAGACGAGACGACCATGACCGCTTGGGGGTAGGGCGAAACGGGGACTGTAGCCGCCCGGCGAATGAGGGCTGACATCTACTACCTGTTTTCCTGCCTGACTTTGCCGTAGAGGGAAACAATTGAATGGGGATAGATGGACAAAATAGAAACTTCGGAAATAGGTATAACAGCAGCTGCAGCACAATTACAAGGAAACATTAGAGCGAACAAAACCTTACTTTACTAGAACTTGTTAAGACGCAAACAAAGTAGAGTATATGTCTATTCACTTATATTGATTTCGGCTAACTATAAGATAACTAAAGGCCATCGACGGGTACTGACCGGAAATGGTGGAAGGTGGACGGATATCTGTTCCTTTAAAACCGGGTGTAAACACGAACTATGGGAAACTTCTGGCCATTGCTAGAAAAAAAAAGCAACGATAAAGAAGTTTTAACGTACACGAACCTTCTGTTCCTTCATACTTTCACCTTTCGTCTTCTTTTAGGCGCGTCCGCCCCTGAGGATCGCGCGAATTGCGCCAGTGACGCAAGATCGCGTAACGTCTAGCTCGCTCTTGCTCGTTGGTCGTTCCCTCTTCAGTCATCTGCCGTCTTTCGTCACCCTCTCGCTTTTGGCTCTCGCGTCTCAACCGCGCCCCCTGTCTTATCGGGGGAGGCGACGACCTGAGTCCCTTTCCTCAGTTGGTCCGCAGAACGCCTGTCATTCCCCCTCCTCCACCATCATCACCATCATTGGCCCCTGAAAACCGCCTCCATAGAGAACCGCTGTTACCGTCGCTTCCAACGAAATCGCGACGGCTCCTTTGAGGCCGCTCTTTTGCGCAATCTATGCGAGTTGCGCATCCGGTCGTCCCTGTCTGTCGAACAGCATCCAACTAGACGGAGAACACTACCGCTCCAAAAGGCATGCAAAGGCAGAATCGCCGCTCAGTCCTCTTCCTACCTTCCTGACTAGCTTGCTATGCAAACAACCAGTTCACGAGTCAGCCGGAGAGCGAACGGGGTCTCGATCGCAGTGTCCAAGCTTCTCGCTCATGCAACAAGCTTCACTCGTCCCATCGCTACCATCGTCCTTACTCCTTCCCCCATGTTCCTTTTAAAGACTTTGTCTCCCGTTGCGGTCCCGGTCGAACGGTCGGTCGACCACTCGGGCGTTGCTCGTACGCCCACCAGTCGCCTCTTCTGACGCCAAACTCGGCCTTTTTCTTTCCGCTTCCTAGTTGTTGGCTGGATCTCGGAAGCTGGAGGGTACACGACAATCGCGGGGCGGGGGGAGTACGAAATGCCGGAGACTGGAGCTTCTACTACTACCGCTTCGCAGTTTGTACGTTCCAGCAGCGATGCAGACGGCATTGCAGACTTTAGAGGTTCTCGAGTCTAACTCATACACGCCGTCTACAGACAAGGACGAGTCGCTGCACGCTCAGTCGCCAGATGGGGAAAGAAGGCAAAAGGGGACAACACGGGTGAAACGGCTGAGAGGGGTAGCGCAGGAACGCTGCTTTCATGCTGCCAGCTTGCCAGTTCGTCGGCAGGCAAGCGGTATGTTCTCCCTGTCTGCTCGGCTCTGAGCGCGTTCCTCTCTTTTCCCTATGACGGGATACCGGCGGTGGCGCAAAGGGGGACGAAGCTGACTTGGACTCAGGGGTGCGAGGAAGCGAGACGCAAGCGAGCGAACAGTCGGGCAGGGAAAGGAGAGTGGGAAGTGGTTGCGCAACTTGTCGGCCCGCTGCTGCGGCTGTCTGTGGATGAATCTGGCGACTGTACGAGCGACCGAGTCAGTGTTGTGCTGCGCTGTCCCCGGGGGATCAGTTGCGGCCGCTACCGTCTGCCGCTGTTACTACCACCGCCACTACATCCAAGCCTGTGGCTAGTAGGGTGGTTGTCTAAGAGGAGTGAAATACCGCGCCGGGGGTGAAGACACCGGAATAGGACGGAATGGGGTAGGTAGGAAATAGCAGCAGCAGGAAGAATCAGTCGAGACGGTCGGATGGTCGAGGGGCAATGTGTTGAACACCCCTCCCCCCCCCCCCGGGATCCCTCGGTCACGCACACGCGCACACAGACCGGATCACAGATCGGCGGCACACGACCACACGTTTACGTACAGTGATAGCTGACGAAGTCAGACACACAGACTAGCATCGCATCCGTCGTACTCACGGAAAAGACCTTGAGCATGAAGGAGTTTTCCCTTTTGCAGTGTCTCTCACCGAATCGGATAAGGACAGAAGAAAAAGAACACCTAAAAGAACTCAATGGTATTTTCGTTAATAGGGAACAAGCTCAGGCTTTGGGTCTGTTGGACATGCTCGACAGTCGACATATGGGTTTACGCTGCTTATTAGGCATATGTTTATTAAAAAAAATTATATATGGCAAAATAATACGGCAACGATATGTCCCGGGGATACAATGAAACAGATTATCGCTAGGTCAGTCATGAAAGCAGCTGGCTAAATTCTGTTAAATAAACCAGTCACTTTTCGTTAGAAAAAAATCCATAAGACCCATCTCTTCCTTACGAAGTGTACGGTTCCACCTTGAACTTTTACGTTTCGTTCTGCTCGGCCTTTATACGGTCTTAGGGAACATAGTCATTTATAATTGTCAATCCAAGCACTGTCAAGCATTTTCTGCTCAATTCGGGTGCATAGCAATACCATGTATACGCGCAGCAGCAGCATCCGTGTACTACCGTTGTGCTGTAAAGCAGATGACACAGTGTATCGGGAAGTGTAGAGCGCACCAACAGATTGCAATACGACCACCGGTGTAGGGGCGCTCAGCCAGTGTACATGTATGTACTCTTTCTTTCTGTACGTCTGATGGCCACGGTCGACGGAGACAGCAGCAGCACGGCGGAACCAATTGCCGGGGGTGTTTGACCGCTTTGAAGGCCACGTATCAGGTCCTTGGTAGCAGAGCAGCTTTGGGAAGGCCAACGCAGGGCTTTTTGTTGTGCTGTACCTTTAGAAAATAGCGTTTCGCGGAAAATGCGTGCGTTCTTCTGCTCTGCGTGCGTTACAGAAGAACGATGACTATGACCGATACTTCTACCGTCCTGATAGTAGAAACATCACTCAGCGCGCCTTTTAGCCAGTGTCGTCTTGTAGAGCGGCTTCAGTTGTGATATGTAGGATTCGTCATGTTTTTTTCGAGAAGTGTATGGAAGGTCAACAAGAACTTTCTCCAAACATAACGACGCTACCTGGGTGAATATCAAGCATAGAAGAAACCCGTTTAATTAAACGCAGCACACATAAAAATACATGTATTTATTCAAGTATAGATGAGTGTACAAACTTTTTTACCCGTCTTATTTATGTGCTACCATTATACTGAAATTTCAAATGGTACGGACAGTTAGATCATTCCTCACAACGTAATTTTTATTACCCCGGCATAAGATACGATTTTGATCAACAAAAGAGTTTATGTCTATTCTATTTCGACCAAAAGTCCTCTCAGGAAAAATAAATATCTGAAAGCAATAGCAACCCCCTGTAGCATTGGGTAATGGTGTGGTGATGCCTAGATGTAATGTATAAAGCAAGAATACTACAGACAGACAAACAGACATGTTGTAGGTTAGGTTTGTATTATATGTGCGTAGTATTATAACGACCAAGCTGCTTTGGTCTTGTGAGAATGCTGATGACGGTGGTACAGTGCCACTGCAGCTTCTGCCGCTGCTGCTGGTGGCTTTATGTCTGATGGGGAATAGGGAATGGGTCGGTGGCGTTGGTAAGGGGGGAGGGGGGGTGAGCTAGTTGTGCGCGTGTGCGTGTGTGAAAGTGGGCTGGGGTAGTCGCTTGGGAAAGATTGGATCGGGGCTGTTGAGGGGTAGAGAGGATTGGTATCCGTGCGTACAGGCTAGGGGCGTGTGGGTGTGATTCTGCGTCAGTAGACGCTGCGCAACCTCGTGCTGATTATGGTGATGATGGGGGGGGGGTCACGTGACCCTCGCCCTCCAACCTCTGTTGGGAGCTGCCATTGCCCGCTGCTCCAGCGCCCACTAACCCTCACTCTCTATGTTCTGCTCTGCTCCTCTGGCAGTGGCAAACCAAGCAGAGTGTTGCCCCTTTCGCCGTCCCATCTACCCGCCATTTTCCCCCAATACAACCAACATAACGACATACAACGTCGACGGCCCGCCACTGCTGCAACCAGCAGCAACACGGCCATCACCGACAGCGCGAAGGCTGCTTTTAGCCTGACTCTGAAGCTGCGAGGTTGGATGAGGCTGGCGTTGTTGACTCTGCCGATGGGAGAACCGGCGACTGTGTACCACCACCAACAGCATCGACACCGCGAACCTCGGACCAACTGCTGATGAACGAACAAATCCTATGAACAGCGAATGTATTGACACCCAACAACGAACAGCTCAGCCAAGCAAGCAACTGTCAACTGCGCCGACCGACCGATGAGCGACACTGCGACGGATGGACAGATGGACGCCGAAGACAACGATGTGTTCTTGTTTGATCTCTCGGCTCCCACCCTCGTTCGGCATCTTTAGTGCTTGCTCTACACGTGTATTTTACATGCGATGTACAAACATGACGATCACTAAAGATTCTACAGGGAGACTGTCTTAAATTCGTAATTTCCAGCATGACTCATGAGGGAATGTTACTTAAAAGAAATAAAAACAAGTAGTAACGATCATTTAGTATTTTCACGTTACACATAATATATGACGATAGGACCACGTCTCCCAGAAGGTAAAATGACCCGTTCTAGAATTTACATAGGAAGTCAACTGGCGTCGTAACTTTTACCCCATTTTCAATATCGGCGTATTGACAGCAGTTCTTGTCGTGGTAATGTCAGAAAGGTTTGCTAGTGCAACGCTCAATAGGGCAGTAGTTAGCAGATGGGTTTGATTAGGTGGTAGAAATAACAATTGGCAGGCAATAAGCAACACGACAGAGTGAACCTTAAAAATATCCTCAGGCAGCTCCCTAGAACAGCAACGGAAAGATGGAGCAGTCGATTCCTTCGCGCGATCGCTTCTAAGATGGTGTGATCGTCGTATGAGGCGGTGTCTGCTGAGATGCCTGCGCTGTTATCGTTACTCCTGTGTATTCGCCCTCTATGTTTAGAACCTCACTGTTAAAAGAGCAGGCAATAACGGTGGAGGGGGAAGGGTCGGGCGCCGTCATTGTCAAGAGGGTGTGCAGAATTAATAGCGCCCACCAAGCTTCCGCTATGTGCGGACGGTCACACCCAGTATGGCGCATGTTAGCAGCTGTATTTGCATCCATAGGCCATTTCTACCTTCCCAGCCACAGGCATCACCATCGCTAGGAGTCAGTCGTTTAGCTCATGATAGCTTGGCTTGTCAACAATTACGATGCCTAGCTACACAATAATGACGTTTCCCCATTTTGCCCTGTTTAGGAAACGGGCTTTGAGAAGCGGTTAACGTATCTTCGTTTTTTGATTTGTATTATATCACAGGAAGCTGGTTTCATTCATGCGCTCATTATCGAAGGTCTCTGGTTTGTCGTTGATTTTCGGGTATTGCCCTCGGGTTCGAGAAGTGCGAACTGTTTGGGTCTATGCGTAGCACCAGCGAATCTGCCCGTTTTCATCCTGCTTCTCTTGTTGGCGATCTGTCGCAGAGGCACAGAGTGGCCAGATACCCCGACCTCACTGCGGTTTATCTTCACTCGTTCCAGATTCAGTGGCTGTAGCCGAAGAGGTAGCGAGACGCTGCTGCAGTGACTGCGCTGCCCAATTGTTGTTGCCGCAGCTACTGTTGTTGATTTCTTTTTTGCTTCTTCTTGTTGATATAGGTATCATGCCGTTATACCTCGTTGTATTGGGTGATTGTGGCGATATAGACTGCGACGGCAGCAGGCTATACATGTTGGCAGTTGCACAGGGGTTCCGGTGGTGGCTTTGACTGCGGTGATGGCAGTTAAAGTGCTGGTGGAAATGGCGGCAGCAATGGTGGCGAGCGGGGCGGAATCGCGGGCAAGCCGGTTCACGGGGGGGTAGCTTATTCACTAAGAACAGAGATCGACATCGTTATGGGACACGGGGGTGGGGGTTGTTGGAGTTTTTGCAGTGAGGGGGGTTAGCGGCCAGGGACTGGGGACAAGTCGGTGAACACGAAGGGCGGAAGAAGATTGAGCTCTCTGTACCGCTCTTCTTCCTATGACGACTGCTGCTACTTTGAGTGAGCATCCAACGGACCACCGGTCGCTTCGTCCGTGTGTCTGCATCCTGGTGTGGAGTAGCAGCAGCAGCTCCATCGTCGCTGCTGCCGACGCCGGTGTGTACAATACTGAACAACTACTACTGCATGGATATGTGTGTGCGCACGAACGAGGCTGTATGTTCGTCTGTTTCAGTCCGTCCGTATGCGTATAACTGCGTCGTTCTCTTCATCTATCCCACTGTGTGTTTGTCGTTGTCTGTCGGTGTACGCGTGAAAGCACGTAGTGTATTATGTTCGTGTAAGTGCAAGACCCCGTGTGTATGGGTTCTCCTCTGCGTTTGCGATGTGTATATATGTTTGCCTATCTGGTTGTATGTGCGGAGGGAGCAACGCACTCTGAATCGCATCACAACCTCACCCGATCCAGTCCGAACGACTCACACAGTCCGCGGCCCCCGTCGGCGCCGCATGACTTGGAGGTCGGCGGCCCGGTCCCACCGACTCCGGCCGGCCGTCGGCGAGGGGGATGACGGGGCATGAGGGATCTGATGAGAAAACTTGGCTGGAAGAAGGACTGCTGCTTGTGGTACTCTGTATAGAACATGGAGAGGAGAGTACGATAACGCGCACTGAACGCGGAGAGAATAGCGAGCGAATAAAGGGAAAGGGAGAAGTAGGGCGGTTGTAAAAGGTTGGGGGGTCGGAGAAGTCGTATTGAAGGAACCAACCGACCGAACGACCAAGCCAGACAGGCAGCCAGTAGCTCTCCTCCTACTTTTCTCGGGGGTGGAGAAGGAGGCTCCGCTGGGGCAGACAAGTGGAGAGGGCGCCAAGCCGCACGAGGGCCATAGAACGCAGCGCGTAGTTAGGTTCCTCTACCCCACAAGCGAGTGAACGAGCGAACGAATGAACGAAAGCCAACGATGAAGTCAACGGCCAAGGGCCGATATAGGGCCTGCAGAGGCAGGGTTTATGCCTTCGCCATTCTAAGTCCGAGGGAAATACTCCCAGCCCAATGTTCTCGCTATCCCCACGCCACTGCCTTCCAAACGCAGCTTCCTACTCCTCCTCTTCCTCCTTCCTATTTCTGCTGCTTCTCAACTGCTTACCAGCCAGTCAAGCAGCCAGGCGGCCCGCCAGCCCGCCAGCAAGCCAAGCTTTCGTCCTCTTTCCCGTCGTACGAACCGAAGAAAGACTATCTTCAAGTTCGCGTCAAGGACAGAGCTGTGACGCTTGGAGGCGCCACAATCGTTATGTCGAAGAGGCCAATCCGCAACGAGGAACAAGTGGCCATCCATTCCAAGCGCTTGCTTCGCCCGCTCCAACTTCGTCCCAGGCGCAGCACAGGGATAACGCTCTCTCGCGCAATGGGTACTCAAGAGAGCTGCTGCTCGCAGGCAAGACAGCTACGATAGCTAGGGCAGCAGCCGCGCTGCTGGCAGCGGCCGCTCTGGCAGTTCGAAGCACAGCACAGACCAAGCCCTGCCCAAACCCCGGCCAACGCTACGACGATGACAGTCAGCAGCGCCCTCTGGGGATGGCGCCATAGAGGTTGCACAGGCAGACGCGGGTAGTGCTATCACGAACCGACCGACACAGTAGCAGCGGCAGTCATAGAAGGACCTACTCAGGGTGGGGGGATTCAAAGGCGGCGGGGAGAGAAATAAGGGCTGGGGGCGAGGTGTGGTGGCGAAGCAGGAGCCGGAGAAATGGGGAACGAAGACTTCCTTGCTACCGCGACCACCAGACCCAGCCAGGACGGACGCCGGGTCGGGTTGGGCCGATTGTGTGGGAGAAAGACGGAAAAAGAGAGTGTTCTTGCAGCTGTGTAAGCGGCGAAGCGGGAGAACCGAGCGACCGACCGCCGAGCGGACGGAGACGCGCCGACCGACCCACCGATGAAGTCTCCGATAAAGAAAGGAAGAGAGCGAGAACATTCGTGGTGGGGACCTGAAGATGGGAGAACTCGACGGCAGTAGCAGCCACATTGGTGGTACTCGCGAGTTAGAGCTGAGGGGTGCCACTGGCGGCAGGGCAAAA